GTACATGTGTGTGGTGATGGGTTGTAATTAGTATTTTGGTGGTGAACATGATGTAATCTATGCAGAAATAGAAGTATAATGATGTACACCTGAAATTTTTACAATGTTATAACCAATGTTACTGCAATAAACAAAAAATTAAAAAAAAATACATTATCCCTGCATAAATGTCATTTTAAATAGTGATAATCAAATTACAATTTTGTAATCTATGATAATGCATTTTATCTATCAACATTCCACTGGAATTACGGTTTCTTAATTTTCTACTTTATAAATAATACCGTAAAAAACCTGTAACTTTGTCCATATGGCATTTCCCTCTTTGTGGATTATTTTCTTTGAATACATTCTTAAACATGGGAATCCTTTACCAAAAACGTGCAGAATAATAAAAAAATTTGAGTGACTAAACATTTTATGTCTTGGAAGTGCGTTAATTGCTTTCCAAAGAGCTTTAACAATTTACCTTCTATCTGCTATTTGATAGTGATTTCAACAAGTTCTCACCAACATTTGACAGTATCACTTCAAGTACTGTCATACACACTTTGGGAACACATTCAGATTTATTCTTGAGTGGGGGGAGGAGTAACAAAGCATATATTTTTTTGGTCCTAACATTTTGTCTCTCTCTTGCTTACAGGCAGTCACCAGAGGAAATCAGCCACAATGTCTTTAGGCTGCACTTTGCTTAACACATTTAATTGAAGAGAGTTCAGTAGAAGAGAATTCAAGATGGCTGTGAATTTTTTTAACGCAAGAAATCACTCATTTGATTAATTCCAACCTTCATGAATTAAATTTTATTTATTTGTATGTCGATTGTTGTAATTAGGAGAATGAAGACAGCTTATAAGGCAATGTTCCTTTTTGGCTTTTCTTAGCACAGCATGTTCATGTGGGAATTTATCTTTCACCTCGTCCAAGGCATTAGGTTGGGCGTTGGCCGGTTTTCAGAGCTTCCTCCCTGAGGAGCCTGACGGCTCCACTCACGTGCCTGTTTGTCCCTCTGTAAGTCTTCCCTGACGACGGATCCAGACTTTTTCCGTTTAAAATTTAACAATGACCAAACCAAATCCCAAAACAAGCTACCAGGCTAAGATACAAAGTCTTTTTTTTTTAGTCTGGAGAAGCGCTGCTGAGCAAAGCTGGCCGGCTGCTGCTCGTGCAACCCGCATCTGTGATCCTTTCTGGTCTCCTATCCACCCACTCCCACCCGCGCCCTACGCAGAGCCGGAATTCTGCCCCCCAAACCCTGGGCGTGAGTAAAGCGTGCCTCTAGCGCCTCCTGGATTCTGTCAAGGACGCTGCCCTGGTCGATGACGGCAGGGCGCCTCCGCGGAGTCTGGAGCAGACGCCAGAGCATCCCTCCCACGGGGTGTGCGGTGCGGACGAGCCGAGTAAACGCGGATTTTTGGCTGCCTTTCCAGCTAGGGTGGGTGGGGAAACGTGTGTCCTCCTAGAGTTTAGACCAGAACCTATGACTCCCTCTCTCTCTTTTCCTCTCTCTGTCTCTCTCCCTCCTTCCTTTCCTTCCTCCCTCCGACCCTTTCTTTCTTTCTCAAGGTGCAGGAGCTCTCCTTCTTTTCCAGACCAGAGAGGGGAGCCTTTCCAGCTCCCTTTCCCCTCACCCACCTATTAAAAGATGGGGGGAAAAGACAAACACAAAAAAAAACCGGGAGTAATAGCGAGTGGATCGGCTCGGCGCTCAGTGAATGGAAGCTGCGGGGCGGGCCTGCGCGCACGGCCCTGCCCCCGATGCTCTCGCCCGGGGCCTGGAGGGCCCCCTCCAGCCCCTCGCCGTCCTCCCGCTGCGGGCAGAGGCTGCCGCCGGCTCCGCGCTCCACGCCGGGGCACCGGCGGCCACCGGGAAGGTCGGAGGGAGGGTGGTTTCCTCCCGCCCCACACCCAGTCTCCGAGCCGGATGTACAGAGTGTCACGTTTGGGAGCCGAAAGACCAGAGCCGTTTCCCTGTGGCTGGAGCGCTTCCCGCAGCCTCGGGCAGGGGCCGGCACTGAGGACCACTAGTTAAACTCCACCCCGTGCCGGAGGAGCAGGTATTCCAGGGTCCGCAGCCCGGCCGCTCACAGAGCCCACGCCTCCGGAGGCAACGACCGGGTTGGGGGTGGCCCGGGAGGGAGGGCTCGGCTGGGTTGGCGAGGGCTGGGCGGATCCCTGCGGGGCCTCGAGGAGGGGTGGGCGCGGGGCCGGAGGGAGGTGGGAAGCGTTTCCGAGGCTCTGCGCCCTGGAGCTGCCTCCAGCCGCACCCGGTGGTCAGCGGGCGGGTTGGGCGCATCGGGCGCCGGCCCTGCCCGCCAAGGTGGGGCGCGCGGGGTGTGGGAATGGCGGCAGGCCGGGAAGGGCCGGGCAGGGTTAACGGGGGGAGCCGCGCCGTGGCGGCGGGGGACCGAGGCTCCTGGCCGGTCTCGCCTAGGCCTCCTTGACCCCTGGGGCCATTACCCTGGAGAGAGCGCGCGGACTCCCGGGCCCGTGCGGAGCGTCGCCCGCCCAGGCTGCCCTCCCTGCGCCGGGGAGGGCTCCGCAGCGCGTCCTCGTGCGCCCCGAGCCCCGCCACGGGCTGCGCACGTCCCGACCCTCCCACTAGGCCCTCGTCCGGGTACCCAGCTGGAGGCTGAAATGGGCTGGGACGGCCAGGGCGGGGTCTGCCCCCGATGGAAGTTTTCGACCTCTTTCTGTAGCCTGGGCGTCGTGGAGAGAGCAGGGGAGCA